CATCTATCGTTACTTCAACGTATTATATATTAGTTTTAGATATAATTATTTCATATTTTATGCGTTCGAGTATCGTTCCATCGTTATAAAATTTGGTGACTCTAAAAAGGGCCGATTTTTGCGCCTGTTTCAAATAATTATTGTATATCTCGCGTGTTTATGCAACAATAAAATTAAAAATATTCTTCTTCGATCGACAACCTACACAAACGTTATATTGTTGCAACATATTCTATGTTGGTTCAGAATTCTATATTAAAATAAATCTAATATTAATTTTTTTTTCAAGAGTAGCTATTAAGAAGCATTTGTCAAAGCCTCTTAAAAACCTTTCCCCAAGATTTTTACATTACAGTAATTTCCTTGCTAACAATGAAAAATGCATGAACGTTCGAGCGAGCGAAACAGTCGTCGGGACACCGCGTATTGCTCACGTATAGACGAGACAGTGTGAGTCAAGCGTTTTCTTAGTGTGTGTCACACGTATTTTAGGACGGCATTTCTGTCCAGACGTCTTATAATGCTATTTCTCTCGTTCTTACGTTTGCGATAGAGGATGGAAGATCGCCGCGACTCCCACCACTATTCCCTCTCCAAGCGTCCGACGATCGTATACCGCTAGCTTTCTCTGCCACTCCGTGCTGCTCATGGCTCACCTACACGCAGCAGTGTTGAGTGACGCGTTATCGTGTGCGAGTCACACGGATATTCGGACGGCATTAACACCGGTGCGTGTACGTGTGGGCTGCCTGTCACGAACTATAGCGCTTGGCACTTCGACCAGGCTCGGGCGATAGAAGAGTGCAGCTGCCGTCTCTCTCCCGACCTATAGCTATAGCTAACGCTGCAAGCGGTAAGAATCATGCCTAGGTCTTTTTATTATATCTCGACGCTCGCGTGTTGCTTCTCGTATGTGCATACTATTACTACTTAACTAATTGTTACATTAAATTGAATGTTTTTTATGCATAAAATAAATAAAGAAATATAGAACAGATGGAACATAAATGATAAAGAAGTAATACAGAATGAGGTAATAACTAAACATTTTTAATCACCCATCTCCCCTATTTTTAGAGATATGAACATATTATAATTACGAAAGTTGCATGGTAACAAGAAAGTCATAATATATTAGTAATAATTTTTCTGTGAGTAGAAGCATTTCGGATATTTTAAATTCATCTTTGTTTAAATGGCATGATATATCTTCATTTATAGTACAATAGCAGAAATTCAGATAATAGCAATTATATGATACAAGCCATTCTTCCTTTAAGCTATTTTCATCAAAACCGCTCAGACTTTTAACAATAAAAGAAATATCGTTATGAGATATTTCTCTATTACTTTCAAATAAAGCTACATGCGCCTGAAAGCTTTATAATTTAAATAAAAAGATATCATTAAGAGGTAATCTTTTTCTAATTTCTTCGGCAGCAACGATATAAAATTGCAAACAGTTTTGTCAAATATTATGAATAGCATTTGCATGTCTTTCTTTAATTAACATATCAAGATATTGTTCACATTCCGATCCCAAATTAATATCATTAATAGACTTGTGATTCCTCTGTTCCAAAAAAGTAATGTTTGTAACTGTATGCATGTTTTTTAATGTGTCAGGTTTCAAAAAGAAATTTCGTTTGAGAAATTTGCAAAAGGAAATTAACGGATGTAGACTGCAATAAATTTATTCCAATTTCGTGAGCTTGAAAGAAAGCATTAAATATATTAAATAAATTTAAAACATATTTTAAAAATAGAAAGTATGTCTTAGTGTCAACATTATTCATACGTGACAATAAATATTTCTCAGACTTAGTTTTTGCACTCACGACCATACCATTAAGGAAATGTGTTAAAGTAGCCCATAACTCAAGGAATCTATTGATACAAGAATAACGTGAAGGCCACCGAATAATACATAATTTCAAAAGTTTGTGATGGGTATCTCGTAAATCTTCACAAGACTCTTTGACAATAGCTGAATGCTTTTAATGTAATTAAGGGGATGCCGGGACATGAAAAAAAAAACAATGACTTTTTCCTACAAAGTTTACGTCTGCATGGAATTGCTTGCACGGAATTTTACGTTAATACACAGAAAGAGAAAGTTTGGAGTCTTTAAATAATGTGGAAATGACGAACCATCCTGGTTCTCATCTCTGCTGTGATACACACACACACACACACGCATTATATATATATATATATACATACAGGGTGTCTGATAACTGATTGAACAGCCGCCGTGTACAGGTAGAACAGGTCAAAATAATCATAAAAGTTATATACCATTTTAAAATTTTCTCAATATTTACTCCGTAAATAATGAAAATGTATAAACAAATCAGCGTACGAGAGGCGGTAGGGCAGGCTTTGTTGTGAAAGAAATGGCTTACCTCTTAGCAACGATAAATAAACAGCTGATTTCGAGACGGAGTAACAAGCGACACGTAGCACGCGGCCGCGCGCAGAAAAATTATTGTCCTCCGTGACAGATTCACGTGACTCTCCGGGTTTACATAGGAAAAAAATAATAAAGCGCTATCATTTCCTCACCATCTAGCGGTAGATAGCACGGTGCGTTTTTTTTATAGTGGTACTCCCAGTAGGTTTAATCCACTCTCATTATTTAATGCAAAAATTGCTCGAAGTGTCGTCCGTTCTGCTGTACGCAGAGTTCGGCTCTTCGAACAATATTGCGCGTTGCACGATGCGCCATTTCCGGCGTAATAGTAACCGAAGGCCGCAGCAATAGCTGCATGTACCTCGTTTTCTCTATTACGTCGATGTTCAACTAGATTTTTTATATGACCCCATACAAAAAAATCTAGTACGTTTATGTCTGGCGATCGTGCCGGCCAAGTGATTGGGCCACCACGATCCATCCACTTATTAGGGTAACGCGCGTCTAATATATCGCGTACTTGTCGAGAGAAGTGCGCAGGAGATTCGTCGTGCTGAAAAATCAGCTGCGCCCGTGTGCGAAGAGGCACATCGGCGAGGAATACCGGCAACTCCGTTTCTAAAGTTAGCGTATATTTCGCCATTTAAACGCGGTAGCAAAAAATACGGACCAATCTGGAAATCATCGACGAAAATGTTTAGATTTAGTGGCGAAAGAAAAGTTATTTTATTTTTATCGCTCACACATACCACTTGATCCGCGATCATTCCCGCCCAGACGTTGATAGACCATCGATTCTGAAACGCACCTTCGCGGACGACGTGAGGATTTTCTTCGTCCCAATGTAAAAAATTACGCGTATTAAATACGCCGTTTGGCGTAAAAGTCGCCTCGTCGGTCCACAAAATACGGTCTGTGAAAGACAGATCTCGATGGTATTGCGCGAGAAAACATGCGTGTTTTGCCGACGGCCGACGGTTACAATTCAATAAAAATATAAAAAATCAATAATCACATTACCTTCACAAAAATTAATTCTTTTTTGTGCATCTCCTGGCAGCAGCTGTTGCATACGCTGATAATGGTATGGGTGCAATCCGTTCACACATAAAACGTGATGCACCGCGTACCGCGAGAGTCCCAGTTCTCGTGCCACATGACGCACGCTGGTCCCAGAGTTTTCGTAAAACGCGGCCAGAATCCTCTCTTCATCTTGGACGCGACGACGCACTCGTGGACCATCCACATCATGATTGTGCACACCCAATTTCACGCAATCGTTGCACTGTACTTAAATTGTATTTGCCATCGGATATCGTGCACGCCCGGGATGTCGTTTCGCGTAAACGCGAGCCGCGACACATGTATTTTCTCCCGCTAGCCTGTAGGCAATAATCATGTCCGTGTACTCCTGTGGAGTAAATCGCATTTTCGTCGCGAAAAAGCACTACGCGTACACAATCGTTTCACGCGACTGCAATCGCCTCCATCGGATACACGAAACCGGGTGATCATAAACAAAACATAATTGAGCAACTTGTCTTTTGTCTATGATCGCCCGGTTTCGTGTATCCGACGGATACTGTTTGTTCAGTAAATTTAGAGTATTTGAATATTTTTCATTGCCCACAACGTATAAAATACTGACAGGGATAGGAAAGTCATCCTGTCCTTATGTATATGTGTGATACAAATCCATTGCTTTATTTAAATATTGTAAAGATCTCATCAGGTCTTTTTGTTGACTATAAGTGTGACTCTATTCTGATTGGTGCATTTCTAAAGATGGAAATCCGATCTTATGGATATCTTATGCTAGAAGATTATTATGGAAAGCAGCATATTAATTGGCTGTCGTGTGAACTTTTGCCGCGCGGCAAGCATTACCGCGTTATGTTTGCAGGAGCCATTATGTTGGAAGAGGACCATAGATGTATAATACCTAGGCCGCGGATTTTTCCATTGTCTGTATGCGTCAAACAATATAAAGAAATAGCATTCTTTCTAAAAAATAAAAAATCTGTTTTTTTCTATCGAAGGCTGTTCCCACGACTTATCGTGGTTTTGTGGCGAGAATAAGTCAGGCTTTGTTAGAAAGAGATTTTCTACCGAAAGAAATAGCAATATTTCTAAAAAGTAAAAAATCTTTTTTTCTATCGAAGGCTGTTTTATTCTCACCACTTATTGTTGTTTTGTGGCGAGAATAAAGCAGGCTTAAAAAGAAATTTTACCGATAGAATGCTATTTCTTTATATTGTTTGACGTGTTTAGATAATGGAAACCGTTGCGAATCCGCAGTCTAGGCCCTTACAGAAATATCATACTAAAAATTATTGATTAATTACTTATTTTCAGTATTAAAAGTCATACATTATTTAGTAATATTTTGTGATTCAAATACAGCTTTTAGTACTCAAGTATTTCAATATTTAATGTTACAAATCTTACCTTATGATTGATTTCAATACTACCTTATGATTGATTTCAAAAGTTATTTAATATTCCATACAAAATATTTATTTAAATATATTTTTTATTTAAAATATATATGATTATTACAACTTTTATATATATAAAGTAATTATTTTATTTAAATATAATTTTTTTCTATTTAAATATATATATATATATATATATATATATATATATATATATTTAAATATATATTATAATATATATAATATTTTTATTTATATTCAACTTCTCAAAAAAAATAAAACAACATTATATATTTTGTTATAACAAAATTGTGGTAATATTAATTACATGAGATATAAAACAATCTTTTTACGTAAACATTGCCTTATTTTAAAAATTATTTCATAGATTTGAAATTTCATGTGTTTCTATTTTTTCACTTTTATATTATACATATTAATCTGTAGAGTGGATTACAATCTTATTAATCTTTCTAACCCATATCCTGCAAATATTTCTCATACAAATCTGCATACATTGTTGTTTTGTTATATGTTAAGTTAAAACAGGACATAATTTGATTATCTTTGTTACCCTGAGGATTTGTATGTTCACAAATATTTACATATAACTGGAAGTAGTGTACACTATTTTTAACTAATGAATTAATTTCTACTGAGTCCTCCGCAGTTAGTTCACTTAACTCTAAATTTTTTAGCTTTATATTTATCAGCGTAGAATAAACAACTGCTAATTCAAACCATAAAAAAGTACAATTAATGAAATTATCATTTGTACATGTTGTCTTTAAATAATCTTCTAAAACATCTATTCGCCGTTTTTGTAGTTTTATCTGTTTGATTTTATCATTTTCGTAAAACGCTAGATATTTGTATGCTTTGGAAGTATAGTGCGCAATTTGTGTACCAAATTCTAGAGATACTGAAGCAAATTCCTTCACCTTTAGGTTATTGAGCAGTTGGAGAATTTGTACAAAAAGCATTTTAGCATCGGCGTAATTTGTAATATAATCATCTGGCATTGTATAAGTAAACTTTCTAAACTTTTCCTCTGTGGCTGTAAACATTAACAATTCTGTGAATTTTTTGTTAGGTTGTGTTATGGATTCTGTTTTAGATTTATTTATTTCGCAAAGATTGTTCTCTTCTTCCTTTTGCAGTAATCGTTTCCTTGATAAAGATAAAATGACAAGCCCATATTTCACCCAAATCATATCAATAATAGAAACAATGATTTTAAACCGCCTATGTACAATATCCTTATCTTTCTCGCACATCTCTTCATTGAATGCCATATACATCTCTTCGTAACATTTTATCATCATAATAGACGCGGCGCAAAGATGATTTTTACATTCGATGAAACGACGGCAGGATAAAAAGTATTCGGCTAATTGTATTGCTTCAAAAGTCCACTCAGTATAATTTATAGAAAACGGTTTAAATATAATTAATACCTTCTTTAGTAACTTGTGCATGTATATTACCACTTTCTCCATATCTATCGATCCATGCTCGTAATTATTTAATCTTAGTAAGATACTCAAACTAGCCATACATACGTTGTCCAATACACATACAGCATCTGATTTAACTTGGATATTAAGAATAGTTTCAATACTGATAGGAGCAGGAAATTCATCTTGTCCTTTTGTATACGCCAAATATAATTCGAACGTTTTATTTAAATATCGTAAAGATTTCTTTATGTCTTTCAGTTTGCTATAAATAAAGCCCAATTCATGATATGCCTGTATTGACGTAAGAATAGATTTGCTATTCAGTTCTTTATCCTTTAATAATATTATACTTCGCATAAGTAAGAATTCGGCAACATGTAAATCTTCTTGTTGCAATATAGAATTTCGTAAAAACTTCACTTGGCACATAAGGACAAAAGATGCAGCAAGAACTACAACGTCGTCTAATTTTGAATCTTTCGAATCGGTTATTTCATTAAAATGTTGGTCTAGATGTATGTCTAAACTCTTGATTGCTTCTATTTGATGTTCATATATAAATGAAGGAGTAGTCTGACGTTTTAAAAGTGGACGTTCTATAAGATGCTTTAATACTTTGAAATCTGCAGCAAGTCTCTTGGTAATGTTCATCATCATATCTTCGGCATCCTCGATATTTTCGACAGACTCTGTTTTCGTGATAGACGCTAAACAAATCGACTTGATTAGGAGAACGTGATTAATAGGTATATTTCGATTTAAGGCTCCTGAGGAATCGCATCATCTCTTTTTAATGACGTCAAAAGCGAGAAAACGTATGCTAAAAATTCTTGCAAAATACGTCGAGATAAACAGATATATTCACAAAACGATATTTGCAATCGATTAAATACATCTCTAAAATATTCCGTACATTTTCCTTTTATTCTAAAAATCAATAGATAATCGGAAAATTAATATGACAAGATAATGAGGAAATTAGGTTAGAAAAGACGATTGCACATCACATTTATTTTATAATTATCTGTTGATTGTTAGAACAAAAGGAAAGTGTACGGAGTATTTTAGAGATGTACTTAATCGATCGCAAATGTCGTTTTGTGGATATATCTGTTTATCACGACGTACTTTGCAGGAATTTTTAGCATGCGTTTTCTCGCTTCTGACGTCATTAAAAAGAGATTGATGATGCGATTCCCCAGGAGCCTTAAACGTAGTATTTTCCTGAGTCCTTTACCTGAGTCAACAATGTCGTGTTTCTGGTCCATTGTGTTTTCGGTGGATCTCTTCAAGAAAAATCACTCTGAATGGTTGCTATACATAAGAAAGAGAGAGAGAGATTCTTCGTTATATAAAGAAATTAAATATTTACATACATACTTTACTCCCTCCCTAGTATTAGTATTATAAGGAAGTTCTAATGCTACTCTCTAGTCAATTAATATTTTATTAATAAAATCATACAAAATGATCAAAAAATAATTTTGTAGCAATATTAGTGAGTTAAAATTCGTAAATGTTATAATATGTAATAACTTTTTGTTTATTTTAGAAGTTATTAAATATTTTATAAGTGGCAAAATGAAACTTGTAAGACTCTCATTTGACGTCAACCAATTTGATACATTTGATACCAATTATAAGAAAAGAAATATGAACATGAAATGTACTCGTTATTGTATTTGATAATTGATCAGTTATATTCAAGTTAATTTGAGAATGCATAGATATTATGTTAATAAATATAGAAATTACATTATAAGGTTATTTCAAATCTGAAGTTAACTTATTCCAAACAGCACATTAATTGGCCCTTTATGGGTCTTCTATAATAAGCTATCAGTTATAAGCCGTAGGCAAGTGACCAACCACAGTCGATTATTTTTGAAAATAGTCGACTGTGATTGGTCAATTTTTGTGCGACTTATGACTAATCAGTTTATTGTAGAAAGCTCTTTGATAACATTTACTCTTGCATATGCGTTTTGTCTGGAATAATTATTAACTCTGAAAAGACTAGCGTGATCTGAGCGACTCTCTGCAGACATACTAACTAGTTTTTGAACGGATCAACGAGAAACATACTAGATTTCTCGAACGATAATTCGAGTGATACTTATATGATGATGTTATTGAACGCAAACAAGTTATGACAAAAATGAGAGAGAAACATTTTTCTGGAATTTCCTAAATTTAGTTTAGATTATGCCGTCGGACATTTCTTATATTTTTAAAATACAAGATTCTGCAATTCTTCGAGTACCACTATTGTAATGATTTAACCTAGAATTTTCTCGGATATATTAACACGACTTCACGTTGATTTGATAATATTTACTTTCATACCACTAATATAATCGTTCCGGTTCCTGTCAACCAATTACCGCGCAAATCTGTGACCCTCAAATGTTACAACTAGGTTACTAATTTCATTAGAAAAGAAGGATTCAAACTGTTTCATTCTCTAGTATAAATAAAATATAAAATATATCTATGCAACTTTGCAGATGTCAAAAAACAGAAAATCTTGTATAATTTTTAAACCGGCTTGGAACAACTATACAATCAAGCTTCGTTAGATGCTACGACTTGGAAAAAATTACTCAAATGCTTCTCTGTAAAATATATCATACAAAGCCAAAACATTAGTAGTTTATACTTGGAGTACGGCTCATATTTGAACATTTTCTTCTGTATATAAAGTCAACATAAATTATTTGAAAGTCACATATATAAGCATTACATGTATGAACATCATAACACAATAACACTCTTTCAGAAAAAAAAAACTTGATTATCATTAATGCTTTATTAAAAAATCACCACAATTTATTCAACAAAAGAATCCATATCGTATATTTTTTTTATAATAATATTAGCTAATAATACTAACAAAATGATGAGATAATCTTACACAAGGACTACTATTGGCTTGGATCGCAATTACATCGTAACAACATGGGAAAAATGATTATTATTGCATGTAAAGTTCTATATGATCATGCAAGATATCTGATACGCAAGATGGCTAAAAACATGTGTGTAGATTAGGTCAAACTGAACAAAAAGTTCCTCTATCGTTTTTCCAACAACTACGTACAATTTCGAGATATTAATAAAAAAAGGCAAATCAATACATACGATGCCGTGGGACAAGCTGTTTCATTGAAAATGGCTGAAGCGTGACTACCTCTTAGGGACAGTGGTTATCGGCTAAAGGTGGAGGTGAAGCAACGATGCGAGCGACGTGTAGATAATTGGTTTTTGACCTATCGCAAGCGTGTCCTCAGGAAATACCAAATAACATTTATATAATTGTTAGTTATAATATCCCATTCAACAATATAATTATAACACACGTATTATATAACAATGAGAACCGATTGTTCCAACTTCTTAGTAAGTTACCTAATGGTTAAATCATATGTTTGTCTTTGTTTAATGTAAAGAAAAAACAAAGACAGACACATAATTTAACTGTTAAGTAGCTTACCAAGAAGTTAGAACAATCGGCTCTTATATTGTTGAAAATGAGAAATTATAATTAACAGTTATATAACTATTACTTAAATTTATTGTATCTCTTATCATATTACTAAGAGCGTATTATACCATGTTACTAAAAAACCGTCACAAATCTCAATCATTTTTGAAATCGCTTACAGAGCTCGTTTCACAGCATCGCACAGGTTCGCCAATCTTTTTTCATTAATATCTCAAAAATTTACATGGTTGTTTAAAAAAATATTAGAGGAATTTTTTGTTCAGTCTTGCCTATCTACATATGTACTTTTGACTATCTCGTTTCAAATATCCTGTATATAAATTATATATAATTATGCATATAATAATCTATCTACATAAATATAGTCCCTATAAAATCAATAATACAATGACATACATAATTATATATTTTCACACAGAGAAAATACTGTTGAATAAAAAAAAGGAAATAAATATGTTCAATTAAATATTGCTGTATTATATGGTTGCCAGAAACAAACATTTGCTTCAATTATATTTGTTTAACAGTATTTTTTCGGTGTGCATATATATTTACACATAGTTATTATAATCATAGAATATGTAGAGGCAAAATTTATAATAATTTTTTCCTAGAAGATAATTAAATTAAAATAAAATAGTCAAATGGAACAAAAAGTCACGATAATGTCAAAATGACGAGAAAATTAAAACGTAGTTTTCAATCGCAATTAGATCATTTTCTCGTCATTTTAACGTCACAAACCATGATTTTCTATTTTACTGGAGATATATAAGCGCTCTTGTTTTTTCTCTATAGGTTCTATGAAATCAGAATTTACTTTCTCCAGGTAGTTATTTAGCACAAATGATTAAAACGTGTTTCAAAGACGTCCAAAAGACATGTAAGACGTCTTTAAAATATCCTTTAAGCTCTTGTCCACAATTTTATTTTAAGACATAAACCGTAAGAAATTGACCAACCATGGTTGGTTTGTAGAAGAATTGATTTTTAGAAAAATAATCGACTGTGTTTACGACTTACGTCTTAAGATTGAGGACAAGGGCTAATAGATTATACTGTCTGGAACGCTATTAAAGATATTTTTTTCTCCGCCTCATTGTGTTGTTCTGCAGTAAATTTCTATTATATTTTATAACTAGATATCTATAATCGCATACAATGTCTAAATAAACGATGTGAGTGGTACTTATATGCCGAGAATACTTAAAGCATATTCGCGCCCAAAGAAAACATAATTAAATTAAAATTAGTGTTAATTATATTTACAATTCAATTATATTTATGTTTCTTATATAGTTACACAAAGAGAGATATATAAAATATATTTTTGTTCTTTTTACTTAAATTATATTAGCACAAGTCAAGATATTCCTTAAAATGCCAATCAAATATACAATTTCTAATTATAAATCTTTCAGTTAATGTTTGTCAAATACTTTTTATTCAAATTATAAATATTTTCGAGAACACTATAAAAAAGAGCTTAAACAATATATAATGTTATTAAAAATAAATTATTTATGCATAATTGTGTGTGATATTAGATAACTATTAAAATTCTATTCTTTTCTGTGTTATTATTCTGTTACCTTAAGGAATATTGTACATTTAACGAAGAAATAACTTGATAACTTTCATCTATCAGTCTACTTTTCAGTGCATTCTCTATACCTTTAGTATTATCAATATAAAACTGCAAATAGGTCTTATTTTTTTCTATTAACTGATTAATTTCTTCTGATTCTTTTTTAGATTCTTTTTCAGATGTCTTATTTTTTTTTGTACTTTCAAGTTTAATATTTAAAATAGTAGAATTAATAAATGCTAATTCAAGCCTTATAAGAACGTACATAATCGTGTGCTCTTTTTCATTAAGTGATGTTAAGCACTCTTCTAAAACATCTATCCGTCGTTTTTGTAGTTTTACATGATTGACTTTGTCGTCTACATAAAATGCAAGATATTTGTACGCTCTGGAAATATATTGTGCGATTTCAACGCGAACCTCAGTGTCCTCCGAAACTAACTTATCAACCTTTATTTTATTGATCAATTGAAGAATATTTACAAAAATTTCTTTCGCTTCCGTGTACGTTGTAATGTAATTTTCTCCGGTTATATGTATAAACTTTTCATACTCTTTTTCTGTACACGGAAACATCAATAATTCTGTGGATTGCTTGGTGGATTGCTGCGCTACGCTAACTGTTACTGATTCTGATTTGCAACGATTTATCTCCACAATATTGTCTTGTCCCTCCTGATTTAACAATCGTTTCCTCGACGAAAACAAAAGAGCGAGTCCATATTTCACCCAGGATACATCAATAACAGAAACGATAGACTTATAATGGCAGTAGAAAGTCTTATTCTCTTCAGTAGATGTTTTCGGATCGATTTTGCAGCAATTGTTGTAAAATTTTGTTGCGATAATAGACGCAAAACTAAGATGATTTTTACATTCGGCGAAGCGATCGCATGATGAAAAATATCCAGCTAATCTTATTGCTTCCGTAGTCCATGATATATAATCTATACTTTGTGGTATATTTTCCAAATGTTTCTTTAATAACTTATGCATATATGTTGTCATTTTCTGCATATCTATAGCTAGATCTTTGATGCTGCATCCTAACGTTATCAAAAACCTTAAAGTTTTCATAAATATTTCGTCCAATAAATAGACATTATTTGTCGGAGTAGTATTAATATTCGGAACATTTAACATATTAATGGGAGCAGGAAAATCGTCCTGTCCTTTTGTGTATGCTATATATAAATCTAAAGCTTTATTTAAATATTGTAAAGATAATTCTTCGTTTCTTAGTTTAATGCAAATGTCGCTCATTAGATTAAGAGCTGATATTGCTGTGAGAATAACTCTACTATTTAATTCTTTGCCCTTTAGCAATGTCAAACTTTGCAAAACAAAATATCTGGCTATATGTAAATGTTCTTGTTCAGTCATATCAAATGGAAGTTTTATCTTACTCATACCCATGAAAGATATAGCAAGAACTATAATATCATCCAATTTTTGATCTTTCGAAGAAGATATTTCAAAAAAATAGCTATCTAAGAGTTCTTCATATCTTACGATAGTGTCCACGTTAGTTCTTGACATATCCTTATCCGAGGAAATTATGATTTCCATTTCTCTTATGTTGCAACAAAGTTCAATAATTTTTTCGGAACAGTCTATTGTTACACCATCACCATTTTTAATACTTTCAGCAGACTCTGATTTCGCCAAGGGCGCTAAAAAAATCGTTCTTATTAGGACAGTAATGAGTAATACGTAATCCGATTCGAATGTATTTTTCTCCTTTACCTGATTCAAGGGAGTCACATTCCGAAATGTTTATACTTTCGGTTGACATCTTTGGAGAAGATCACTTCGTATGATCAATATATATAAAAAGAGTTCTTCGTATTGCGGGAATATATTTAGAGTGAAATCAGATGGTGCGTAAGGGCTTTCGTACACAGATTGCCGTGGCCGTAAAGGCTTTTGTAGAATGCCAGGCAACAGGCATTAGGAACAGGAAATAGGAATTCGGATTGGTCAATTATTTCTATTGCCTGTTTCTATTGGCTAATACTTATTCCCGAGTAAAAATATATCTAATAGAGCAGATTTCAAGACTAGTAGCTAGATAGTAATGACTAGATAAGTTTTCTAGCCAGTCACCAGCTCTTGCCTGGCTAAATATTCCTACTCAGTCTTTTGAATGTCAGGACTATCTAGTGACTATAACAATTACATAGATAGTAGCTAGATGAAAAAGATTACACAGTAACGAGATAGAAAATCATCGGTAAATCCTGAATAGAAATTGGATATCAGAACTGTCTAGTAACTGTACCAATTACAGTTACCAATTATGTAAGACCCAATTTTCCTATGTCATTACTAGATAATAACTAGATTAAATTTTTGCTCGGATTCCTATTGCCTGTAGCCTAGCATTGTACACGCACCGGCGTAAATGCCGTCTGTATATCCGTGTGACTCGCACACGATGACGCGTCACTCACACACTGCTGCCTGTAGGTGAGAAAAAGCAGCACGGTCTGGCGGAGGAAGTTAGCGGTATACGATCGTCGGACGCTTGGAGAGGGAATAGTGGTGGGAGTCGCGACGATCTTCCATCCTCTATCGCAGACATAAAAGCGAGAGAGATAGCATTATAAGACGTCGTGGACAGAAATGCCGTCCTAAAATACATGTGACGCACACTAAGAAAACGCTCGACTCACACTGTCTCGTCTATACGTGAGCAATATGCGGTGTTCCGATGATTGTTTCATTTGCTCGAACATCCATGCATTTTTTCTTGTTAGCAAGGAAATTACTGTAATGTAAAAGGAGATCTTGGGGAAGAGTTTTCATGAGGCTTCGACAAATGCTTCTTAATAGCTGTTCTTGAAATAAAAAGAAATATTAGATTATTAGATTTATTTCAATATAGAATACTATATCAATATATAATACTGCAACAATACAGTGCTTGTATAGGTTGCCGAAGTAGAATATTTTTAATTTTAGTGTTGTATAAATACGCGAGATATAATTATTTCATATTTTATGCTTTCGAATATCGTTATAAAATTTGGTAGGCCTGAAAAGAGTCGATTTTTGTGCCAAAGAAATTGAGATCGATGGTTAATAGTCAGTCAATAATCAGTCCAATATCCGGCACGGTCGATAATTTGATTGAATCAATTTGGTATCGAATCAATGAAGTTCGCGAGAAAGTCGGGTCGAAGCCGAAGTTCTTCTCAGACAACGAACGAAAAAAAGCGGACGATGATAGCAGAAACGGGCCCATTATTATGGATATTTCTATATCCATAATAATAATAAGGGACAATAATTATTTGAAACAGGCACAAAAATCGGCTCTTTTCAGGGTCTTTTCACCAAATTTTATAACGATGGAACAATATTCGAACGCATAAAATATGAAATAATTATATCTCGCGTGTTTATGCAACACTAAAATTAAAAATATTCTACTTCAACAACCTATACGAGCCTATACTTCAACCTATACTTCAACAACCTCGTACAAGCGCTGTATTATTGCAGTATTCTATATTAATGTATTGAATTTTGTATTCTGTATTGAAATAAATCTAATAATTTAATATTTATTTTTTTTAAGAGCAGCTATTAAGAAACATTTGTCGAAGCCTTCTGAGAACTCTTCCCCAAAATCTCTTTTTACATTACGGTAATTTCCTTGCTAACAAGAAAAAATGTATGGATGTTCGAGCGAGCGAAACAATCGTCGGAACACCACGTATTGCTCACGTATAGACGAGACAGTGTGAGTCGAGCGTTTTCTTAGTGTGCGTCACACGTATTTTAGGACGGTATTTCTGTCCATGACATCTTATAATGCTATCTCTCTCGCTTTTATGTCTGCGATAGAGGATGGAAGATCGCCGCGACTCCCACTACTATTCCCTTTCCAAGCGTCCGACAATCGTATACCGCTAGCCCCCTCCGCCAGACCGTGTTGTTTTTTCTCACCTACAGGCAGTAGTGTGTGACGCGTCATCGTGTGCGAGTCACACGGATATACGGACGGCATTTACGCCGATGCGTGTACGAGGGGTTATAACAAGGTTATATTTTTAATGTATAATAGTCTTAAA